CAAGCAGTAAGATTAGCCACGTGGTTTCCTACTAAAAGGTTTATTTTTCAACTCAAATTTATATCTACCTACCTGTTTTTCGTCCCAGCACCTAATATGCTCATTGCTATGTGTTAACTGAAAAGCTGTACAACCTCTCCAAGCGATGTGCAAGTGGTTTCTTTCACCACGGAAGAAATTGCCTTCTGTTGTAATACTTTTTTTCACCCGTCATAGCATAACACAGAATCAGGCTAGTTTAGAAAACCAAAAATTCTTCTTCGCTGGGAAGCAAGGAGTAATGACACATAGATACAGACCACCTAAATGAATAATCCAAATACACCTAGCATGGCAGAAATTAAGCTTCTTAAAAGTTATAACATTCATGAGGGACATAACACAATTTTAGAAACCCAAGAACAGAGCAAGATCTGAGGCAGGACATCTGCAAACAAATAGACTGCTTAGCTGAGCCATGGACTACTTCAGAATTTTCTTTCTTGATATTACATGAAAAAGACTTGAGTACACATGTCCCAAGGCTTTTTAATTTGTCTCCTTGCACCTCTTTGAGTTGGCAATAGCACTAGGCTACAGTGTCCCTCAAGCAAAATCAAGAAAAAATGTTTTTAAAATGTATCAGCATCTCTGTAACATAACACATTCCTTCACATTGAAAAGGAAACAGAGATGGAGGAAAAAAAAAAAGACCAAGACTGAAATGCTGAATGGTTTCCCATAGTATTCCCTAATGTTGAGGGAGGAAGGCGCTAAATTACTGGTGAAGGCGTGTTTCCCTTTGTTAACACACCCGACATCTGTGATTATGCTGCTTGTTGAGATGTGGAATCCCTCCCAGTTGTCCCAGCAGCTCAGAATCCTGACAGAGGAGGAGATGGAGAAAAATAGCAAATGAAGAGCAGCTGTGAGTTTTCAAACATAGTTTCCATTTGTTCCGGATGCCCATAGCAAAACAACAATTTAAGGCAGTAACCAGCCTGAACAAGTTTTCTTCAATTTTTTCTGTGATGTGACATGGCACTTTTATGGAAGGCAGCACATCCACAGACACCAGACTGCTCTGACGTTGCCTAATCACCATCAATATCCATTAAGCCAAGTACACAAAAACTTTGAATCTTTGTCTAAGAATCTTTTTCATTTGGACTCCAAGACTTACTTTGCCACACTCTGAAAGCAGATTTTGAGCCTGAGGACTGGATTTGTGTGATAATGAATTCTCATCGAGAGCTGTTAATGAAACAAAGGAAACAGCCCCTTGGATCAAACCAATGAACCATTTCACCCCTATCTGCCTGCAGTGGTCAAAACAGAGGATGCTAGCAGCGGTTACACCTAGGTCAGTCAGTAACAGAGCAGAGGCTTCTTAGCGACTTCTCACTTTGGGACTGACATGGATCCCATTGCACTGGAGTTTCCTCTTTCTTTTCAAATAGGTTGGATTCCCATTATCTAAAGAGCAGGTTTTGTTCTGCTTAATTTGTCCTTCTGAAATTCTTCATTCCACATTTGCTTTCTCTTCCCTTGCTCAATTCTGTGAGATTCTTTAATTTATGCTGTCTATGGATCTGCTGTTGTTCCTTAAATTGCTGCCATGCTGAAAGTAATCTGAATTTTCTCCTCTCTATCTAACACCTCAGTGTGTTACATGCTTTTGCTTTAAGGACCTACTCTCACAGAATCATGCTGCTAATCCTGGTTCAAGCAACTAACTAAACCCAATGAGAAAAGAGGCACTGCTATGTGGGTAACGGCTTTAGAGAATGTGCTCCTAAATGACTAAACCCCTTTTTTTATTAAGCAATATAAATCAGGGCACCTCCACAAACACAAACCGTGTTACACCAGTTAAAACAAAAAGGGAACAAGCACTTGCTTATCTAGTCCCTCAGAATCTTTTAAGAGGATCCCCTTTCTAAACCCACTACAACTATCCTGGCACCCCTCACAATCATAAGCTGCTGCACTGGTCTTTGCTTTGCCCTGTTTAGTGCAGTTTGGTTCCATTTTTTTGCACAAGGGATGAATTCCACAGAGAATCAGTTTGCCAGAAGGACAGATTTCTTTTGAACGTCAGATGGCAGAGAAGGAACAGCATTTTAGTGTGCTTGTAATTACAGCTACCATGACAGTTCATATGTGTTGCAATAAAAATAACCATAAACCTACCTAATCACTAAAGCAAAGCAAACAACTCCTCTCTGTATCATCATACACAGGTATTGGAGTTGCTAATAAACCAGGAAGAGCACTGAGGCACTGGAGGAGCATCTTTCCTATCTCCACAGTTTCTTAAACAACTTTAGAGGCATATTTTTATTAAGTATATGCAAGGCAGATGATCTTAAACCTCAAAAAGAGTCTGTATAATAATTGTGTGCTCTTCTAATGCTCTCCAAAGACCTATTCAGAGTCCATTCTGAAAGACAATAATATATCAAGAACTTCTGCAAACTTCCTCCTAATGAACACATGCCAATTTGAGACCAAGAATTCTGGCCTCAGAGGACAAAATAACCACTGCTCTTAGTCTCTGAGTGTTTTGCTACTTTATTTCAGAGTGATTCAAGATCTAATTAAATTTCTAAACTCTAATGAAATTACAGAAGAAAAATCATTTAGGATTATATTATATACAATTACTCACAGCTGAAAATTACAGTTAGCCTCTTTCACCAGGATAGGGTCTCCTGAGAAATCCTTGTTATTCATATAACATATAAATCTGATGTTACTCCCACTATTTACAGGTTGAAGGTAAAAGCAGAATTAATTAAACATATATATCCTGCCCAGCGGCTGGACAGCAGAAAGTGGGTAATAGAGGGAAGGCTGATAATGATGGCTATACTTGAAACTACATTTCCCAGTTTGGCCAAGAATCAGAATAAACCTACTGCAAAGCAGGATTTTATTAAGCCTGGCTTATTCTGATCAATGTTTTTCCTCACTGGAGGTATGCTGTGAAGGAGAATAGCAAAGCATATGCAGTCAGCAGCGTGCAGTCAGCTAGCTGAGCTATCTGAAGCGTTTTGTGGAGAAGCAGCAATGGAATAAATCAAGCAGCTTTAGAGAGTTCAACCAAATACTCAGGTGTTTAGTTGCTTCTCTGAAACACAAGAGCCCCCAAGACCACTGACTTGGGCCAGTGGAAACAGAACAAAATGAAAAAAAAAAAAGATATTTGACATTCATGTTATTCCTTCCGTAAGAGGTTCTCAGGAAACTTGGAGCACAGCATCATTTGCAGATGAAATACATGAGGTATGAAAACATCGGGGGGTTCTTAAGAGGATCCTGATCTTTTTCTGTCCAGCTGGTGCAGAGATTTTTGTTTGCTTGGTTTTGGTGTTTTCAACTCTGATCCCAGAGAAAACCAGGAACAGTGAAAAAGGAAAAAATAATTACACCCACATGCATGTGTGCACACAAACACTCACAATAGGTCAAAACATTAACAAATACTTTCTATCACATCTAGCACACTCAGTCATTTCTACCTTGCTTCATACAGGAAAATAGGCTAGGAATTACAGCTATCTCAGGGGGTACGTTGGTCATCTTTATTTATATTTTTAGTGCCCCAAAAGTCTTATTTTCTGGCTAACACTGCGTTTTGCTTCTCCCTCCACAAACACCTGGAAGTCATAAACTTGATTTTTCACTCACAGCTTGTCAGAGCAACTAAACATTTGTGAACATCTTGTTCATTTGCAGTCATTTTTCCACCAAGGTGGCCATACATATGCAGTCACTAGCATTTCTTATGGACTACAATGGTCCCATTAAAAACAGACTTCTGGAAGAAGGGCTTTACAACTGTAATTCACAGTTTACTCAGCAAGACAGACGTTTCATTCAGCCTTAAGGTGTAAGATTCTGCTGAGACCAAATTGCTCAGACATTCCCTCACCAACAGGAAGAAAAAGAAATATCCAAGAGATTTCTCTTAAAACTTCTTGCTCAAGATGTGTTTCAAATTATTTTGATTGGCATATATAAGCATCTACATGCAATGAAGGTACCAGACAGCAAAGGACTAATCTAAAGCAGAAAGGTACATCAAGAGGCAAGAGGTAAAAGCAATACGGAGAGCTTCCAGAGACCTCTGCTGCGAAAAAATGAGGCTCATGTTCTTGTGCCTTCCACCTCTGCAGGACAGACCTGAAATGAGATGAGAGGAATGGGTTCACTTAGCAAAAAGCATTAATGTTCGCTTGTATGTTTTGCTGTAATTCAGTTTTGGAACAGGTTAACCTGTTTGAAAAGATGAATTTTTCTGAAGAACAGAAAAATCTATTTTTTCACTGTGGTTCAAAGAGTAAGTTTGACTCCTATCAGAAGCGTCATCTGCTACTAAGTTCCTGCTTTTTAGTTCCTACTATGTCAAGACATTTCTCTTACATGGAAACTCTTTTCCAGGAACTGACTTGCAATAGTTTGCATAGTTTGCAGCCATGGTGAGTTTCCTCCACTCTACTCCTGAAAAAAATATGAAAGGGAAATGTTCAGCCAAGTACTCCTCTCCTCAAAATGTTACAATGCCATTGGTGTTGAGTTCAAAAAAAAGCTGGCAACTTTGAGACAGATTGTGTTACAAGGTTCTCCTTCTAACACAGAAAACTCACTTGCATCTCCACGGATTTAGAAGACTTCAGCAGAGACCAATTAACTGCGGTAGGACTTTTTCAATTTTGTAAAAATAAATGTTAGCATTTAAAGATCCCTTAGAGAGTGAAACAGCTGAACTAGGCTGCGACTGTTGGCTCTTCACCTTCTCCACAGAACAGTTTCAAGTGAAAAGTTTATTTATATGTTGAACTTAAACCCAAAAAAGGGAACTTCTGTTTGCAAATGTAACTACTCAGGATGTGACTGTAGTTTCCCAGTATAGTCAGGTGACCTGCTTTAGCTTTTTTTCTTTTTAAAAAAAGACATTGCAGAAGTGCTAATGACTGAAAATCTGAGTGAAACCATTTTGTTGTCAAAACTTCACAATGACCTTACTAACAAGCTGGATATCAGTCCTAACGGCATTTCTTCTTCTCTTACGTAAGTGATCCATCATATTTCTTTTCCGTCCTTTTTGAGAGATGTTTTTTTCCTGAGTTTGATGGGGTTATTTATTTCCCAGTTGAATTGTATGTTGTTTAAAAATTTGTTTAGAACCCTGTTCCTCGGAGAAAGAATATTTTTTGAGACAGTGGGGTATTTTGCTGAGATTTCTAGCTAATATTTGCGAGACTGAGTGCTGTGCTAAGAGGTCAGCTGTGTGCAATACATGAAGTTAAATACCTGCATTTGTGCAGATGAGATGGCAGAGCTGCTGAGCATCCTGTTTGGCACTGTATAGAAAACAGTACTTTAGCAGATATAAGGAAAATATTGACCTGTGTGCATGCTACCTGCACGCCACTTTTGGTCTCCGTGACTCTCGCTTATAGGACTTTGATGCTCCTGCCTCAGGCTGCTTCTAACGCTTCCTGCCAGCCCAAAGCAGGGCGTTCTCATCCTCACAACTTGCTTCTTATTTCATGGTTACCTCCACTTCGTGCAGGGAAGAAGTGAGGCTCATGGATAGGAAGTGTCAGCAGGGGTCATATTGAGACTAACGTGAACTAATGAGGAGGATGGAGCTAGCAGCAGCTACAAAGACAGAAGTTTACATAGGTTACTGTGGTCTCTGAGACGTTCGGTAAGGGGTAGGCACCCTCTGGTGGCAAAAGCCTCATCTTTACCTAATGAACACCTCCCCTCGCTACCCTACTTCATGCAGAAATTCGCAGAAAATCATCATCTACCCTTGGGGAAACCCCCAAGGGCAGTTTGCCCCACCTGAGGCATGCAGACCAGCTGTTCCAGCTTGCATCCTGCCTCGGATTCTGCAAGCAAAGCTATCCATAGATCTACAGCAGTGCTCTATCCTCTTGTAGTCCTTCTCAGGGTACACACAGGAATTTGTCACTCTCATTATCCTTTTTAGTTGTCCCTTCAAGCCCTCTGCACCTTTCTATAGACATTTCCAAGAGTCTGGAGGAATGGAGACTGTCCAGCACAAAGGACATGGACAACCAAACTTTCTTACAGATGTGAAGTCAGCAAGGACTTCTCCCAAGTTACTGACTAGTTATTGCTCAGAAACCAAATGGCACAAGTCCTATTAATACAATAGCATTTGCTTAGAGCAAAGAAATGCGGACTCAAGAGCAGCAAAACATGTTCTACAGCAAAAGGCAATTCACAATAGATACAAGGGAAATCCATTACCATGCCTCCCAGTGTCACATGGAAAAGTGCAGGCAATGGCAAATCTATAAGCCTTGTATGGAGGGGTGCGTGGCAAGGAAAAATTCCTGTCTTCATGTAGGAGTGACTCCTGTCCTCATCAATTACTACAAAGAAGGATTTTGCCTCTAATTTGAGGACTGAGAATGGACCCTGTTTGCCTGGATACTAACAGTGCCTATCTTATGAAACTTCCACGTAGCTGGGAATTTTGCTATACTGAATACCAGCCAAAATACCTTTCTTTTTTTAATGCTGGCTTTCAGGCACGGTTTCCAGCAGGGCCATTGCCTGTAGCCTCTTTGTTGTCATGGGCATTCCTTATTTGACTGTGGAGTTGCTCAGGCACCCACCGTGAGCCATCCCTTTTTTTCCATCCTACCTCTGCGTTTCCCAGATACTTGCTTCTTTTCCCCCTTGCTGCCTCAAAGATGAATGGCACTGAATCCCTGCCTACTGCAACACCACAGGACTAGCCACTATCTGCTGCAGTGAGAAGGAGAAACCTGAGATGGGGGAGGAAGAAAGAAGAAAGTCACATGGAAGCAGGAGGCAATAGAAGGAAAGGGACTAAGGCAAGTGCTGTGCACTGAGAAAGACAAGGCACATGTTGCTGTTTATCACTGCATGTTATGGCTGGGAGTTGGTTCACAGTATCTCATAAGGTGGGGAAGTGAGCTATTCCTGCTCCCTAAACTTGTGCCCAAATTGCGTTTTGCACCACCTTCCTCACCATGCTGACCTACAGGCAAGGCATCGCATGAGCACAGTTACATAGCAGAGGGCACAGCGAGAACAGGACTTCCCTCAGTGCAGCTCAGAAGCTGTTTTCTGCTTAACCCAGCTCTGTGCACAACAGATCTGAGGAGCACTAAGCCTGCCCAGGCTTAAATCATTCACTGAGATGACAGACCAAAGGCTCTGATCTCACTCACAGCCTGGCTTATTTATCTGTAGGTTCATCACCTGCCCAGTAGCTCTACCTTGGGGGAGGTAACCACACTGGCAGAGGACTGTGGTGCAGCCAGAAGCAAAAGTTTCCTCAGCCACCGGCCTGGCTCCAGCATACCATACCAAGCCCAGCTCCTCAGGCAGGCTGCCACGGCAGATTCACACTTGCTAGTTCTCCATGCCCTCCGACCTCTAATGCAATATCTGTCTAGTCTGCAGCCTCATCTCCGGACTCTCTGCCAATAATACACACACACAAATGTTCCCCCACCAGCTGGAGTGAGCCACAGCTTGTGCCTCCCATCAGCCTCCTGGTGTTGCCAGGGTCCCAGGGGGCACACCTCTATTGTACTGCCAATTGCACGCTATGCCTGAGCCAGGCACACAGGAGAGGTGAGAAAGCACCATCAGTTGCTTCCAGACCCTTTGAAAAATGATCCATGAGTCACACAAGTATATATATCAAATTCATCTGCGAGGCTTTTCCACCCAGAAGCAAATATTCTCTGGGTCCAGGGGGTTTGTTCAGGCATGGGAGTTAGTCTAGCCCAGCATACAGAGACAAGGGGTCAGAAAGCTAGCACTGGGTCTGGAGTGCTGCAGAAGCTGAGGAATCATTTCTAACCCCTCTGTACAGGGAGGTTTTTATACATCCCCAGAAGATCTAAACTGAAGATGGGATCTAGGTCAAACAGTGACACACGTGTATTTGACTTGGTCAATCCACTTCTTTCTACCTGAAGGGGAAACCAAAACAAACAGAAGCTGGCTATCTAACACAGTCCTCAAAAGCAAACAGTATTTAAGCAGCATCCAGTAAATGATATTAAACCTTAATTAAAACCATATTGAAAGTATGAATTGAAAATGCTCTCTCTAGTCCTGTGGGTTTTCAGAAATTTCCCTCCCTCCCTTTATAAAAAGAAACTAATAATTTAATCTCAATATATTAAACTGACCTACACAAAATATTCCATGTAAAATATTATTTCTGCCATAAAACACATAATCTGTCACTGGTTTAATTCCATTAGAAAGCATACATTAAGGTCTATGTATTATGATCATTAGGGTAATAAAGGTAATACAATATCACTTTTATTATGTTTGAATTTAAAACATTCTTCATATGAGCACAAAGAATAATTAAGGAGATGAAAGAAAGGGGTTTTTTAAATTTATAATGAAATAAATTCACAAGCAAGAGCAAAGAGACTAGTTTCTAATCTGGAAAATCAGGAGCTATGGTTCTTACACCCATTGTGTACTCTTAGACTTTTTTTTTTTTAATTCCCTTTCTTTGTAACTTTGATTTTGGTAATTTAGAATAGCAAACTTCTGCAACCGTATCTGTAACCGGACTTCCCACCTGTCCCAACTCCCTTCTCTGAGCGTCATAGAGTTTTTGGAGAGAAAATATTTCTGCTTGTACAAAATAAGTTTCCAGACATCTTAATTATGAAGAAAAGTTTGGCAAAAAAAGACTTTCATCTCAGAATTATAGCTCTCAAAATACTTTTGCTTTAAAACTCAAGATTTTTTTGAAGCTCATCTCCAGATTTTTGAATCTTGGCTTGTAATTTATGAAAATTTTGGATTAGAAATGTGATTAAGACCAGAAAATAAAAACAACTCTGTTGTGAGCCACCCTATATATCAGCTTTTTCTGACATAACCACAGAAGCCCCAGAGCCCACACTCAACTCAAGAGAGAGTTTCAGCACTCTGAAAAGCAGACACAAAATGAATTTCTGTAAAGGTACCAAAATGGCTGAATTTGGAGTGGGAGGACTATGCTTCAAGTCTAAAACCAATTATATTTCTAGCATCCATCTTACTGCGCAAGAAGTGAAAGCACAGACCCCAAAACCTCAAGAAGACAGAATTATTTCTTCTCAGGAAGTGGAGGAGAGCGAGGAGAGGCAAGCTGGGACTTACAATGTTGGATAACTTAGCAGTGGGAAAACTGGATGAGTTTAAGACCTTAAAATCCCACTTGAGTTTCAGTCAGACAATACTCCCTCACAATTCCCCACTACAGTGGGGAATGCCTATGAAAAGATATGTTGTTGCATGCAAAACAGCATTACCATGCATGGGATCTTACCACCAGATCCCATATGTACTGTCACCCAGGCAGTGGATTACCAAAGAGCAATAGCTGTAGGAGAAGAATTCATGTTCTGCCTGAAGCATGTAAAGGAGACAGAAATTTCATAACATGCTATTTTAAAATGTGGAAGTCTTATCTGCCTTTAAAGCCTTCTCATGCTCCAGACACCTCATGCAGTTGTACATCAGGCATGTCATTTGGAGATACGTGAAAAGACTTGGTGGAAATAGCCTTGCATGCCTATCCCTGAAAAAAAATTCAAGTGCACATTTTTAGCAATTTCCTGCCATAAACGAGCAACATCAAAAATCATATGACTTCTCTTCTTTTTCTTGACTTTTTGTTGTTCTTGTCTGGAAAATTTTTTATATGTTACCTTCAAAAAGTATGTGAAAATGAATAGTTTTCTTCAAAGCCACTCCATTCTGAGCACCGGCACACTCCAAGCATCAGGCAGCACAGCCCAGTGACTTTATGGAAGAAGGAGGGCTGAGAGGATGTTCTTTTGATAAACTAGGAACTTGGTGTGGGAGTCTCTGAAAAGGTTGCTTCCAGCCCATAACATTTTCTTGCAAAAGGAAAATACTCTCTTCTCTGCCAGCAATAAGTTACATTTGGAAGACCATAACTACAGGAAGGATTGGGATACACATTTTCTGGACACGGTGCTGGGGTATGTCATATCTTCTCTTGTTAGTGTGTCTTCTTAGCTATACAGCATCTGTAATCTTTTTCTTGATTTATAGAAATTTCTCTTGCATACAGCTCACAGGCTTGCAGTAAGGAAATCCTAAAATGGAAACAGTGTTAAGACAACACAAAATTTTAAAATCATATTTTCCATTTCGTCCAAAACCTGCCACGTAGTGGCCACATTCCTAGGATGACCTCATTAACTTGACTGATAATGCTTCACTAGTCCAGGAAGCCTCAGATCCTTTCTTACGCTTTACCAGGATCAACCATTCCCTTGGAAATAGCTGGATACAGCATTCTCAAATACAGAGCTTTCTCCTTGATGTTCCTAATAGGCTGAAATATTTCCATTTCAGATTTTTGGAGAGCAAAGGTCTATGCTTCTGGAAACTCAGAGGAGGAAATAGGTGAGTTCATGGTGAGATTTTTGCTTCCAGACAGGAAGTTAGGGGCAAAGCAAATGTAACAGAAGTGAACATTCTCAGAAGACTTTACATACTTATGTATAGAAGATAATAACCTGGTTGTGTGATTGTACTTTGCCTAGCACAGGATAGTTCTGCCGTGTGACTGAGGCCTTTAAATGACTTCTAAGTAAATACAATGATCATAGGGAGGACACAGCTTGGAACACAGATCCTGGACGCAGGCAACCTCCTGTCTGACAGATGAAGCTGAACCCTTAGGTACGCACAGTAATGCAAAATCACAATATGGTTCATATTCTACACTTTAAAATTCTCCTGTGTCCTCCCAGCAAAGCCTTACAGACAGACTAGTCAGGCAGGGCCGGAGGCTGGGGACTGGGTGGACATGAAGCTGTGCATGTGCAGCTGTGGGAAGCAGGACTAAGAATGGCGAGGAAGCAGGTATGGGGGGTTTCACTTTGGAGAAAAAGTTAGAGACCTAGCTCTAAAACCTAGCTCTAAAACTCAGCTGAGACCTGCACGCACCAGAGACTAAACTTGTTCATTATCATAAAACGGCACTGAGCCCCTTAGCCGCATGTTCACATGGTTTCATGATGTGCAGAGGGTTGAAAGAGTAGTCTTGTATGTGACTCTTCCCAGCTACCTAGTCTGGCTCAGCATTATCAGCCCCTCCTGAAGAACAAATATGAGGTGTTTTTTTTTTTAGGGATGCATTTTAACTTTGGAAACTTTGTGTTTTCACATCTGAAACACAGAGTTGTATTTACTACTTAATGGCCTATACTCACTGGTTTGTTTTCAATTTTTGCAGATTTCACATATGTTATAATAGGAGTTACTCTGGGAGCGTTTCTAGCAATTGGTTTTGTAGCAGTAATAATTTGCATGATCAAAAAACAAATGCTTGACAATGTCTTTGCAGGTAAGAAAAAATACTCCTTATTTCTTATCCAGAGATCTAGTTCTCCTTATGTTCTTATACAGCAGTTCTGAGCTTCAGTGTTAGGAATTGTGTATGTACTGCAGCTCTGGCTGTCCTTTGAAAAACTATTTTAAAAGTGTGTGAAGTGCTGGAGTTCCTAGATCTGCAGATTCAAATTTCAGTATAACCAACTCTATCTTTAGCTTTACAAGAGAAACAGAATTTAATTCAGCTTACTGCCTGGTATCTTTTTGAATGATTAATTTTTAAAACAAAATTCTGCCTAATCTACGTAAATAGTCTATTAATTTGCAGGATGGGCAAAAGGCTTGCTCACACTTTGTAGCCAAAATGGTTATTTATTTCACTGATTCTGGACTTTCCCTTCAAATGCAACTGTCTGACTCCAAGATACGCAGTTTCCATCAGACTACATTGCAAAATTCCCTATAACTTATCCACTATGATTGGTTTTCAGGTGCCAAATGAAAGCATGTTTTGCATCTGAAACAGGCAAAAGCTCTTCTAACATCATAACTGCTGGTAGAAACAGCTCCTTTTGACTTTGAACTGGTGGTTTACAACCCGTGGTTTTGGATTCAAATCCAAAATCTTCAAGTTAAACTGAAAATGCCCTTCATTTCAGTAGACAGAAGTTAGCAATGGGCAGAATTTGTCCCACGGGCCTCCTCAGAGGGAGTGCTGGTTCGTGGCCCTCCATCCTCTGCACAGAGCCTCTCCTACCCGATAGGACTCCAAAGTGCTTCACAGAGCAGTGCACAGAAAATATTTTGAAGATTTCTTCCACTGCTGAAATAGAACTGTCGACTGTAGTACAAGGTATCAGCACACAGTAACAGTTAATTGCAGTTAAGAGCTAGAATAAAAGAGCATAGCAAATACAAGAACAACAGATATGGGCAAATGAGGAAATGCAAAGTACTAATAGTTTGACCAGAACATCAGTGTAAGCTGTTCTTTTTTTGCAAAAAGAGCCCTGGGACTTTGCTAAGGCAAATCTTTGTAACCTAAGTTTTGCTTGTCAAGAGGGGTCTGTGCTCTCAGTAGCACATGAAAATTTGGCTTGGAAGGAATCCATAGCAGAAATGGAAGCAATGAGGCAATCTCATGAAATATGTGGGGAAATAATCCTTAATGAAAGAAAAGGGACTATAGTAAGAGAGTTTGGGGTCTGAAAGCACTGTTCTTTGTACGTCATCTCCATAGTGAATTTCTAAAAGCACCTTTGCAGCTCTGGTTGCATGCAGAGTGCCAGCTCTTGTAGTCCACTTTTAAAAACAAATTCTCATAAGTGTAGCCAGTTTCCACCACAAAAATGAGCCAGACACTAAACAAGGAAAATACAGCAAGAGAACTCAATCAGGTTGCTACAGCATAGGATTAGGAGCTGCCTGTCCATCCACTGTATCCAGAAATGCTTCCTTCTGTGGCCAGATCTTTGCATTAACCCTCACACGCCAAATGAGAGGTAATCTCCTAGCACCCAGAACTGTCTAACCCTACTAAGTGAGCAGTGCACCATCACACACTGCTTCAACAGTAGTCACAGTCTCTTGCTTAGTAAAAACGCACACAGAGTGGTCTTAACTATTAAGTCTGGAGTGAATTAAACTGAGCTCTCTGGGCCCAGTACTGCTACGGTGAGCTCAGCCGATCAGTCACAACCTGATTCCAAATGGCTGATGCTTTCTTTACTGGCACTACATAGTGTGCCTAAAAGGAAACTGCTTCCACCTCATTCTCATCAAGCATCTGATCTCAAAGTTGTTTCTCATGATGCTCTGGGGATGTGCTACAATCAAACTCAAAATAGCCAAAATATTAGCAAAGATACAGCTCTGAGAAAATTGACATGAGATATTCTGGCTGGAAGAATCAAGAAGGGCTTTAGGAAGGCTGCATGACATTACTGATATCAAAGAGTTTTACCTCAGAAAGGATGGCTGGATCTTTATCAGCTGTAACTACATTCTCCTGGTTGCATCCTCACGACTTCTGAGCAGGCCCATCACCACTCTGGTCCTGGTTCCATAACTAACCACATTTTCCTGTTCTCTCCTTAGAGTCAGATGGCAAAATGGATAGAAGGTAAGAGTCATTGCCCCACGCGTTTTCAGAGGCAGTGCAATACACAAACTGTAATGTTTAACTCCTCTCTCCCTTTATGCATGATGCTTCCCCACAACTGTGATTTGAATGATAACACATAATACACATGCAAGCCACTAGAGGACCATGATACCCAGTGTATCTAGTGGACCTGTGTGGAAAAAGGAAATTCCTTTTAACAGGATTTTGACATTTTAGAAATAGGAAAGAAATCCCAGCAGACAGATTCTTTCTAACAGGAAAATCCTTCAAACACTTCTGATGAAGCTTTTCTTTTTTTTTAGGTTTGTACTATGTATTATAATAGCAATCTCATTTTAAAAAAGCATTTTTAAGGGATGAAAGCCAAAAGCTTTGTTTCAAAAGTGCTGAAGTTGGATGTTCTTTGAGATTGCGAGAATTATTCCACATTTTCTCCAAAACAAAGTATTTACTGTATTGTCATATTAAAAAAAAAAAAAAAAGGGAAAAAGAATAACATGTAAACCAGGGTAAATGGCTTCATCAAAAATGTCCCCATTACTGTGTTTGGACCTCAGTTCTGAGAACTCCCTCCACCCCAGGTTCTTACAGGTCAAGGTCATGCAGTGATCATTCCTGCTGGAAAGGATCCATTGTGCCCTTTACCTTCCTCCCTGTTACTCAGAAACAGTAAGACCATTTTTGGTTTTGAGCACCCAACGGGTTCACACGCAGAAGAGGCAGTGCCAGACGGCTAGGTAATGGCAGCTCCCCATCTCCTCCAAGGACAGGCAATAGCGTAGAGATGTGTGGGAGCAGGAACTCTGGACTGCAATTTGTCTGTTGGCTCATGGTAACCTACAGATGTGGACACCTTTTTGTGGCTCTTTGAGACATTTTATAAGTGACTAATAAACCCCAAACATTAATTAATCAGCATTCTCATGACCTAAGAAACGGCTTTTGGCCTCTCTTGGAGAGCTAGATAGAAGCATGTCCCCATCACAGTTATTCCTTATAAAGAGGCCACAGCATATGTAAACATTGAGTTGAAGATCAAAGCAAGGGCACCCCTTGCAGCTGTACTTAAATGTCTTGCCTGTCCAGCAGGGAAGGGCCCTAGTCATGGAGCATCTGTTATTTTCCTGGGGAGACACTTCCACAGCCTAACACAGCTAACTGTCATAAAATATTTCCTTTCTAGTAGCACGCTATTCTCTTACAAGACACTCACAATCTCTGTGTATTAAACTAATATAGATTAGGACTATTATATGGCCAGAAGAACAAACACAGAATATGCAGTAAGCTTTCTGCTGTTTTAAGGACAGTACAGACAAAGTAACAAATGGGAAGGGTGTGAATAGCTGAAATAGAAAAGCCAGACACCAGAGTCAAGAGACAAGAGAATAAAGGGAAGAGAGTGATAAAGGCAAGAAGAGACACAGAAGGCAGTGGATTTACTGCCTGAATTAAATGCATATGGTATGATCTGTGAACTGCTCCACATCAGACTTTTTTACCCTGTGCCTCCCATCCCTTGCTGTTTATTATGTGTGACAGTTTGAACATCAATGATATCATCCTCTGATCTTTCTAGGGGAAGTGACTGAGTTTGTCATGGCAACAAAATTTAACATCATTAATGACGACCTTACATTGACCCCTTCGATGATTCCTTGTCCTAGTCTACAGGCATTTGATCAAAGGTAGAGTGAAGTTTCCAGTTTCATGTCAAAATTCTGCTCCTAAGGCTGGAAACATGATACAATATACAAATTCTCTGTCTTAGAGCCACTGACACTGACCAGTGAGAGAAGCTGTAATTCCAAAATGTTTGGGGGCAAAACTATGTGCGGTAAAGATTACGTTTTTGCTTAAGTAGAAAACAACTAGCAAGCCACCATCTCTTCTTAATCAGTTTTACTTTTCAATTCTACTTTGGCAGTGAGTAAATTACTAACAAATCTTTGTTCTCATTGACTTCAGGGCATCTATATATTACTCCTTGGTGGCTCATCAAGGGATTCTGTAATGTAGATGTTGATCTGAGAAAACAGTGCAGTCTTCCACTGGTCTTGAGGAAACTTCTGACAGTAAAAATATTACCAGATCCACAGCAAACATTCAAAAATGCTGTTATAAACTAATCCTTAGGAAGATTAGTGAAATACAGATATCCTTGAGATAGCATGAATTTTTAGCAAGGAAGTATATATGGTGCTTTGTTTGATAAACAAAGCTATACTTTTACAAATCTCAGACAGTGGATGCAGAACTAGCTTTGTTGTGTTTGCACCATCATTCCGCAATCCAAGCAATATCTGCTCAGGTAAAACCAATGGGAAATACAGCATACAGCATCCAACGTACATTTCCATCTTGCCTCCTAACCTTCTTCAGGGTAGGGCCTTTCCAGATAGTAGAGTTTGTGTTATGTTAAACTGGCCTATATCTAATGGGAATACCTTACAGGTTGGAACTGGACCTTTACAGCACATGTAATAGCTGAAGTATGTGGCAGCCTTCCATAGGACTCTCACTCATGTTGGCATCTCTCAAGGACCAAAACTGAGTCACAGAATGGGGTTATATGCCACGTTTTGGATTCCAATGTTGTTCACCTAACTAGTTGAGGTTGTTTGTGTATCTCTGAAAGGAGATGTATGGGAGATAGCTGCTCTTAACAACAGCAACCAAAAAAATCCCCCAAAACACAAACCCACCACAATCCCTACAGTTTATTTCCTGCAAAGGGCATTGAAATGTTACTCATGCTGAGTACTTGCACTGTAATGCTACAGTATTATAAATACTGAGGAGATTCCTCAAGAAAACCCAAGTTGTATGTTCCTTTTTATCTGATTTATTTTTTCCCATAGGTCATAGTATAGGGTAATAGGGATAGTTTCCCATTTATTTAAGTCACCAAAGAGATATGGGATAATTAGGTCTAAACTGACTTTAAGCACTTACTTCAGTTCCCTGGGGATTCTAATTCATGGCATTTTTAGGCCAGAAGATAGTCCTGGAAAATTCTTTGATAAAGCAAAGTCCATTCTCTGAAATCATCTGATCCTAGATTTATTCCAACCAATCATACAGCCACCCTGAATACCTCAGGTACACAGGCAACCCAGATCCCTCAGTGATAAGTAAGATATCACCCCTTTAGGATCAGAGAGAACTAGCATATCATCCATGGAAAATTTCATTTTCTGCTTGAACAGTAATGATTATTAGTGTTTGTTCAGGAAAAAAACTTAATCCAACTGATCACAGAATCACAGAATCACAGAATGTTAGGGGTTGGAAGGGACCTCTGTGGGTCATCTAGTCCAACCCTCCTGCCGAAGCAGGGTCACCTACAGCAGGCTGCACAGGACCTTGTCCAGGCAGGTCTTGAATATCTCCAGAGAAGGAGACTCCACAACCTCCCCGGGCAGCCTGTTCCAGTGCTCCGTCACCCTCAGAGGGAAGAAGTTCTTCCTCATGTTCAGACGGAACTTCCTATGCTTCAGTTTGTGCCCACTGCCCCTTGTCCTGTCACTGGGCACCACTGAAAAGAGCTTGGCCCCATCCTCCTGACACCCACCCTTCAGATATTTGTAGGCATTTATAAGGTCTCCTCGCAGCCTTCTCTTCTTCAGGCTGAACAAGCCCAGTTCCCTCAACCTCTCCTCGTAGGGGAGATGCTCCAGTCCCCTCACCATCCTTGTAGCCCTCCGCTGGACTCTCTCCAGTAGCTCTTCATCTTTCTTGAACTGGGGAGCCCAGAACTGGACACAGAACTCCAGATGAGGCCTCACCAGGGCAGTGTAGAGGGGAAGGAGAACCTCCCTTGTCCTGCTGGCCACACTCTTCTTGATGCACCCCAGGATCCCATTGGCTTTCTTGGCAGCCAGGGCACACTGCTGGCTCATGGTTAACCTGTCGTCCACCAGGACACCCAGGTCCCTCTCTGCTCTCCAGCAGGTCCACCCCAAGCCTGTACTGGTGCATGAGGTTGTTCCTCCCCAGGTGCAGGACCCTGCACTTGCCCTTGTTGAACCTCATCAGGTTCCTCTCTGCCCAGCTTTCCAGCCTATCCAGGTCACGCTGAATGGCAGCACAGCCTTCTGGTGTATCTACCACACCTCCCCGTTTGGTGTCGTCAGCAAACTTGCTGAGGGTACATTCTAACTCTTCATCCAGGTCGTTGATGAAGAAGTTAAACAAGACTGGGCCCAGTACTGACCCCTGGGGGACACCACTTGTCACCAGCCTCCAACTAGACTCAGCGCCGCTGATGACAACCCTCTGAGTTCTGCCATTCAGCCAGTTCTCTATCCACTTCACCGACCACTCATCCAGCCCACACTTCCTGAGCTTCCCTAGGAGGATATCATGGGAGACTGTGTCGAAAGCCTTGCTGAAGTCAAGGTAGACAACATCCACGGCTCTCCCTTCGTCTACCCAGCCAGTCATGTCATCGTAGAAAGCTATCAGATTGGTCAGGCATGATTTCCCCTTGGTGAATCCATGCTGACTACTCCTGAGAACCTTCTTTTCTTCCACTTGCTTCATGATGGCCTCCAGGATAAGCTGCTCCATCACCTTTCCCGGGATGGAGGTGAGGCTGACCGGTCTGTAGTTCCCTGGGTCCTCCTTCTTGCCCTTTTTGAAGATTGGAGTGACATTGGCCTTTCTCCAGTCCTCGGGCACCTCTCCTGTCAAGTGAGAGCGCTCACCCGAATTCACCTTAAGCCAAATTTTGTTTTAAATTTCACATCATTCTTCCCATGAGCCACTATGTCTCCCTAGCTGGGACATACTCTGCGTGGCTGTCACTCAGCACAGTGCCACCATAATTGATGGAGTTGGTCAGCCTTGATGCAGAGAATCTTTTTTTATGCTACAGCCCTGACTAGCTGGTACTGAACCTAACCAGCACATTGCAACAACAGGTTTCCGCTAAAATCTGGAAATATTCTGATGTGTCCCTCTTATTACTTTCCCAGACACTTAAAATAGAAGTGTTTC